TCAAATAAATTGCTCTTCACAAGGATATTAGATAAGCGTAAGTTAACTATGAATCATGATTCGCAATCAAAGTCACTTTTGAATATATCACTCAGAAGGAACATCCTACAACAGTATGTCTCAATAAAAACTCAATTCAATAAGATATTTATACTGATATAAAAACAACAAAAAGAAAAGGATGCCGTTAATGTAAGCTTCTAGCAGACTTGATAGCACATTAAATATATTGACCGAGAGACCGTGATATCTGATGATATTTTCTTAATGGGTATATATTTGGTAGTACTCAGTAGTATCATCTAGGAAAAATGTTCTTATATTTGGTATTCATCAGATTGATGTGCCTACATTCACCTATATGTTACTGTTAGCATTGAGACCCAAATCCAGTATCCATGGATTCAGAAAAAAATACTATCACCCACCCGTATACTCATTTAATATGACTACTTCCTTTTCAAAAGGTAAAAAATATCTTATTTGAACATGACTACAGAAAATATTGAGAAACCTGGACAAGCAGTCATTACACCACTGCAGACTGACAAAAGGTTCCCATAACTTCCTTCTAATTCGAACAAATTTCGAGGATTTATATCAACTGAAAGACAGTGACAATGAATTTCATCACAACTGAGGAAATAAATCTCGTAAAATGCCTAAGTGAGGAACTAACCATCTAGCTAGTTGAAATTAGTGTGACGTAATAGTCGTTTCAATGCTTCCTTTTAGACAAAACATTACAATCATATTTAACAGTACAAAATAGTCAGAATATTTACAGATGACTTTGTGTAGTTTACCATCCTTACTACCATTACATTATATCATATCGAGACGTTACATATGGAGAGAAATACCAACGCAGAATAGCATACGGAATTCTGTTGGTTTGACTTGTAGTGATTCCCATTAGCATACAGAAAGGAAATGAGTGCAGATAGGATTAAACTACCGTAAGGATCGGACTAGGTATGAGAAGACAATTATAATACGTTATAAATTTTGAAGACGACAAGGGTAAAACATGGTTAGATCATTTTGCTCGACTTTGAACTGTCCAACTGAGAATTCATCACCGATGGTTTCTAGGAATTCAATTACATCACCTAAACTGTTTTACATAACCCAGACTAACAACAAAATACCCTATGGATCCCCATTATTTTTTGATTCAGAAATCATTAGCACTGTTTGCAACCTACTGTTATATAAGCCAACAAGGTGTGTTGAGACAGACAGCTATGTCGTATATGTGACGCATGTCTCAGCTATCTTGTAACTACCTAACTGATACGTCTTCCTTCTCTGACTACTAATTAGACGGATGGTGAGTTCTGCTGCAATTCGCTCTTATCTGTGCAGCTGGTAGACACGACTTTGGAAGAAGTCGAGACATTATAGATGTATTTGTAGCACTACCAGCGTTTAATACCTTAGGGCAGACTGACCGTAGCATGGCTAAATTTTATATCAATTAAATAAAAGTTTTCGGTATTTTTTAAATATTCATCATGACTACTATACAAGTGCACCATCTGAGAGATATAGTCTCATGAGAAATATAAGCTATTATTTAATGAATCCTAACCAAGATTTGTAATCTAAAATACGATCTTCACTTATCGATCAGAAAATAACCCACATATACGATACACCTGTACTGGACCAGTGAAGTATGAGGACAAAATCCTGAAAAATAAAAATCGTCTACAGAAGTGTACATACAAGCACTTGCGACGTTAATGTGTATGACAAACTAAGTTTTGTCCCGGTGTGTATATTTGAGATTCTTGGTAAGTTTGAAAGGGGTTCTCGTTACTGCTAGACATCTGCCAGGGAAACACTTAAAATAAGTCAATTCTTAAAATGTTTCATTTTCGAACTAGAGGTTTTCATTTGGAAATGAGATTCAGCAATTCTAGAATAAAGACTAAAAATTCATGTCCTGATTACTTAACTTTGATAGCCGAAATCATATGAACACATGAACACTTTCTTAAGTTAGATGCGCATGATCACAATCTTAATTCACTTGGTTGAACTCAGAAACTATAACTTATAACAATCGAGAAGTAATATCCAAAGTCAGTCAGTTATCAGAGACAGGAATTTATTTAACGCTGTTCGTTTTCCAATGTGATTTGAATTATCTTGATTTTACTCGGTGTTTAGATTTTTTCAGGTAGAATGAAGGCACTTAATGACTTTTTACACAGCTTAATGAGAAGTGGAGGATAATTCAAATCCTGTGATGTATTAACCCTACACATTTTAAACAGTCTAATCACACACGAACCTGTCAAATTACTTATATGGAGATTTAAAAAGGTCAATGTGAAGTACTATTATATCATATTTCAGTTAATCCTTAGCTTCTGTTTACATTATGTAAATGTATTAAGTGAACTATTTGCTGAATATGTTTTTACTTCCTGACGAACACAATAAGTCTAGAGAATCAAATTTGATGGGGGTCGATAACGGTTCAACAGTTAGACGCAAAACGTAAGCACATTTTACTTTTAGTTCCAACACCTAAGATATATTAACTGAAAACGTCTTTCAACAATCTAGCAAGTAGGCCAGTAAGAAGTATTCACAATCCTAATACAAAGATGTTTTTGTTGCAAGATGATAAGGCATGCAATTTAAAACGTTTTAAACCCTGTGGTATTGAACTTAAATAATATTTTATTGCTATAAACTAGAAAGCAGTACTGGTAATAAAATCAGATATGACACTTCCAGCTGAGTGTGTATGAACTCATATTTTTATTTTACAATGTCTTCTAAGGCAATCTCCCAAAAGACAGTCAAGCCGATGTTTAATTAGTTCACGACTACAGGTAAATGTGTCATTTGGACAAAAAGCACTTAGTAGCATTTAAAACTCAAGCTTATTATATATATTGCATTATGCCTAAAAAGACGCAGTATGTTTTAAAATGAAAAGTTTTGATTATCATCCATTTACCAAAAACAAATGGGTGGCTGGTAATAAAAACTGAATGTAAATTCATCTTTTAAAGTTGTAACACTTGGAAACATAGGAGGAAAAGAAAATAAGTGAGAAAAAGACATCAAAAAAGGCAAAACATTGAGGATAAACAATATATGAATAAATGTAAAAACAAAGTACTTTCTACAGTTTTAACTAATTCATGCATACCTCAAGCTGGAAACACCAAATGGAGTTTAGGTAAATTGAAATTCATGATTTTGGCATTTGTATCTCCACTGAATAAAAAGTAAGGTTATTAGCCTTATAAAAGTTAAATTCTTCAGTGAAAATGCATTACGTGGTGAGTTTTCCTGCATCCACGATCTTCCTTAGGTCGCAACAGATTTTGAACGGAAGAAAATTTGATGCAGGTACACGCATGAGCTTAAACTACTGTGGTTCTGAGGGACATTGGGGGAAATGATTAATGATATTTAAGGTAGAACAATATAAAGCAAAGCTTATTCCCACTAAGAACAATCTGCTCAGTTGGTCTATTACATTAGAATCCATCTTTTAAGCGATGAATAATATCACCAGTTAATTCGGACCAGGTTTCTGAAAAAAGCACTTTCTCGTAAAGTTTAAGAAAACGAGGAGGTGTTACGTGGTAGTTATATTCTGAGATGGATCTGAATAGTCTACGTTAGGCATATATGAAAGCGAAATTAGATTCGTATGAAATTTCTCAGCATGCTCAGGGACAACTATTAGACTTTTGATTACTTCCAACTTTGTAGTTTTAAACACTGCTGTCTTCATACAGGAAACTAATAAAGTTAAATATAACCCAGATGTTGTGGTCAGGTTAGCTTTTGGTGTGTGCAGTTTTTATTTATGTGAAACAAACCAAAATATAAGGTTCGTTTCCTTCCATATAGCATACATCGATGTAGTTACATTTGATGACGATTTCATGTTCACTTCACTTCGATATTTTGTCATGAATGCTTTATTAATATTGTAGAAAAATCACCAGATACGCGAAACTGAAAATCTGGAACACGACTATATTTTACTTTTGTGCTTAAAACCTAGTGTCCCGAGTCTCTATTATATACTTTAGACTCGCTGCTGGTCTCATATAACCTCTGAAAATCAAACACATATGACTTTAACCTTAATTCATTCTCACAAAAGTGACTGACGCCACATGAGACTATGAACATGTTTACATATCCAACTGGTACACGACATTTGACAAACAGCACAGTAACATATTTCAGATTTTAAGCAATAAGTTGTGCGGGGTTTTCGAATAGCAGTAAGGAAAGAATCGCTGGTATTCCTATTAAAAGTCAGAAAAGCATTTCATGGCACTATTATGCCTAGTCAAATGAAGACTAGATTACGAACAGGTGGAAAGATTGAAACAATTGAGTAATAGTAAGTTGTGATATATAATTGGATATTGATAAAATGTCACTGAGCACCATTCCATAGATTTTCTTCATAAGTTCAATTTTTCATTTACCAGAAAACGGCAAATATTATGAGAGCCATTTGGAGGTTGTACTTAATGTATGATATATAGACAGAACTACTAACACTAACATAGAAGAACGCTTTCAGCCTTTCCATCTAAGGCTTAATCCAATGTCAAGTCATTTGACGAGCAGCATTTTATGGATTTTAACAGTGCAATAGTCGTTTTCCTTTGTCCACCTGTTTAATGCTAACTTAAGTTTTGTAGACTTTAACCTATGAGACTCAACGCTTAGTCTCATTTCGTGCGTAGTCGATAACATTATCTATACAACAGTCCCATATTAGTTGCAGTGACTTAAATTCAAATTTTCAGCGCGCCGGAACCACGATAGAATCTTCAAGAACGTCAAGTAGAGCCAAATCTCATTGATAAGGAAAATAATAAAAGATAAGAGGTACGGAGTCTGAAAAATATTTTTCTATCTTAAGGTTTCGAATATTTTCCCAACACCCTGTGTCGTAGTCTCGAAACCACACAATAAACAAAACACTGAACCATGCTTACTTTCAATTGGCTGGTCTTTGAACAATACTTCCTGTTCCAGCCAAAAGTTTTCCAAGGATTCTTCCGAAGAAAAGTTGATTTCACGAGAAATCGATTTACACTTAAGGATTTTCTTTGGGACGTGAGCTTTTGAAGAAATAAACTAAATTATGTAAATACCTTCGTGTTCAACCTCTGGAATGGAACTATTTTCAATTGAGAGCCACAAAAAATAATTGTGTGATTTCAAACTTACAAGTCGTCAGTGCTTTGCCAAAGAATTTTTCCTGACTCAGCATCACGCAAATTCATCCAGTTCCTGCAATAAGAATTTCGTCTTGGTGTGAACCTACAGCTTGAATCCTCTTAATATAGATTCACATCTTTGGTTATGAGTCATTTTGTACATTGCGGAATCTCAGAAGCGAAAGTTGTGATGAGCCTTGACAAATTTAAACAAATGTTGTAAAGTTACGATCACTTAGGATTTGTCTTGACTGAAATAAGAGATCTTATGTTTGATGTTTTGCCTTCCGATATGAGGAATAATTGATCTTTATTTTCCTTCCCCACATTAGGGCAGTGTTGTGGACAGAGGAAATACTGAAGCATTCATATGAATTCGATTCAGTTTTAAAAGTAATTGTTTGCTCTCCCGGCCTAAAGTAAGCCAAAAATTACCGAACCAATCGCTTTAAATTCTGAAGACGACAACTCTTAACTCATACTTGAGGTTTGGTTTCAGTTTCGAGGGAAGAGTAACTAGGGTGCTAAGTAGGACTTCTGAGGGTTTTGGATCACTTACAAGGTAGTGAAATGAATCAGTTTTTTGAGTTGAAACATCTGACGATCATAAATGTTACTGTCAAGGCTTACTGAACATGTGGGAAAATAAAATCCTACTTGAAAGTTTTACCAGGACAAATGCTTCGTGGAAATCTTCACAAGGAAAGGGAGTATCTTTGAGTTAAGCTTTTAATTTGATGCTAGTCAATCAATGTAGAGCTTTTGTAATAACTTTAACTAACGGTTCGGTATCATTTGTGTTGGATTTAACCAGCGCGAAATAAACAGAAAGGTATAGCAAGTTTTATGAGCAACATTCCATCGGTTGAGATGACTACATAATGAGGCATATTCATGGACGCCAGTTGAGTAGACAACGACTTGCAGGCATTGATCACTCAGCATTCCTTCTTCTCAAGCCCATTGATTTTGAGAAGCCTTAACAGTCACGGCTAAATGCTGTAATCGCGCTCAAAATTTTCCACAGTATAAACGTAATTGATGTAGTCACCTTACTCTGCTGCATTCTTTTTAAGTCAAGAGGACCACTCTGCCTAAGTCAACACTGTCAACGTTGTCATTATTTTCGTGACTATCAGCCATCATTTAAACAACTGGTTTCATAATTTGTGCATTTAGCTGCCCATATCAGACCAAAGCCTGAAAAGGATCTAGTTGAAAAGAACATAATTCGTTTATGTGTCGTTGCAGAGCAGAAAGTGGGTATTTCGGCGGTCCACTGAAAGGCAGATGAAGTCAGTATCACCTGGGACGGTGAAGTCCGTTTTCTTATATGACGCTCATGTCGGCTCACGTTGATGGATGTCCCGAACTTATCAGCCTCAACGTGTTTATGAAGAGGATGAAGCTAAATTTGCTCTACATAAATCTCAGCCACCCCTATTGTTACAACACAATTTAAGTGTGCCGATTGCTTTGCTGTGCCCGTGTACAGTTCAAAATTCAAAACCATATGTTCCGAATGGAACTGAAGGCCCACATAATTTGGTCACATCAACAAGATGCAAAGAGTCAGACATACCACTGTCCGCCTGTCTTATGGTCTATTATCTGGCACTTTACATCCTGGAGAGCTTTGAAGAAATCATCGTTTCATTACAACCTTCTGGCGGCCATATCTACCAACACAGCATTTTCGCCTAAGATACAGAAGATTTCCATGAAAAGAATAAATTACACTGGTCCCTTTGAAAGAGGCCGGAGTCTACTTCGCCTTACTATCGAATCAACGCACTTCTTTAAGAGAAGCACGGGAACTGATTGTCTGTGCTATTTTTTCAGCCGATTTAGCCTTCGTCATATACAAACTTTTGTACGTAGGTTTTCTACATATCTCGTCCTAAATCCTTTAATCTCTCTATTCCATAGTGATATCTCCGGTTCAGTTAGCTTCCACTGCTTTCGTACGCACCTTCATCTTCCCCATAAGTTCACCTCTCAACAGTGTGCCTTAGATACTTCTCCAAGTAATTTTTGTGGTCAGCACGGTGGACCCACCTACGCGTATCAGGGTTGGTATATTTCCGTGTAGTATTTTCGTGCTTCTGCCTCGAATTTCGCCTGACGCTCGCTTTCGTTACTCCTTTTTTCAGGTTTGCCTAACCAGTCCTTCACCCGTATGGAAACCTAGTAATCACATTTGTCAGCGTGCTCCGTGCCAGCAAAACTTTATGACGAACGCATACAGTTC